AATCATTATATATTAGTATAATATATACTAATAGTATAGTATATTATAATACAATATATTTTATTTATATATACGTACTAAATTTTTTTTTATTACTTTCTGTAATAGAAAATAATAATGATAAAAATATATATATATATATATATATATAATTTGTATAATATATATTTGTATATATATATATATTTTTTTTATACAGATGTACTAATTTCTTTTTCTCAATGTTTTCAATAAAATAAAAGATAACATACTGTGGTAAAATTTCACTTATGATAGCATTAATGTAATTTCTTTTCTTTTCTTTTTTTAATAATAACTTTTAAAGGGTTAATCTCATACAAGAATCATAAAGGACAACTTGAAGCAGATTTTTCTACGATATATACTTCTATACTAATAGAGATATCACGTGGCGTATATCGTTCGTGTTTATTCGTTCGATAAGTGCATATTACATTAATCTAAAGCCCCATTTTGATTCTGACCCTCAGTGTAGATATACTTGCGTACGCATTCGCGACGAACGCTTTGCGAAGAATGATCGAGGCGAGTATACGAGAGATAAATGGATGGAGTATGGGTAGGGGTAGAGTATGGTATGGTAGGGAAGTGGGAGAGAGGGATTTCAAAGAGGGCGTAAATAATAAATTCATTTGATTCGAACCGCGGTTGAATGTGCTTCACGCGTATACGTCACGTACGTTGTGGGAGAGAACGTGTAAAGAACTTATCCTCGATAATGATCCTTGACTAGAACCGACCTTTTACGAAATTCACTCAATCGATCGTTTCCTGCAGTTTGATCCTATGAATGAAATGAAATTCATTGTTTGAATTATATTTAAAAATTATTAATATCGTAGTTTCAAGATTTATTAAAATGGATTAGCCTATATGGAAATTTAACAATATTAATCTGTTAACTGAGATGATTTTTGATCTATGAACGTGGACCTATGAAATTTATCTCGATTAAAAGTAAAATAAAATAAATCAATAAATAAGATAAAAAATTTAATTAATGAAGCATAAAAAAAGAATTGAAAAGTATTAATAATGTTTCCTTAATAGGAGTTAAAATTATCTATAACGCCATGTAACTTTGAGGTAATTGTGATATTTGTATTTGTTAAGTTTCACTTTATTCTGTTATAAATTTTTTTATTGTTACTTCATATATATCCAACGTTTTAAATATTTATTAAGTATAAGTTATACTATACTAAATATATATATATATATATAGAACTTATACTAGTATAATAATAGTATAGAATACTAGACTATATTAAATATAATATAATTATTCTAATATAAGTAGATAATACTGTTAAATAACTTTCACATTATATAATTTTTTTTGTAAACGCAAAAACAAATTGAATTCTAGAGAATTAAATCTTCTCCAGTTAACAGGTTAATAATAATCATAATGGTATTAATATAATTGTTATAAAACGAGAATAAAGAGAACTTTGAATATAAACTCAACCGATTCATTAAGTATTAAGTATTAATAAAAATAATATGTTTTATACTATTTTAAACAATCATATTATTAATTTTCATAAGAACAAGTTTGAAAAGAAATCATCCAAATTATTTGAAGGCAGATATACGAATGAAATATTGAATTGTCGTCATTTTAAACGAATAAAATCAAAAATACAACAATATCTGCTGAAATAAGAGGACAATAAACGAAAAGATAATGATCATACGATACGCCAGGACGCGATGTTTGACTTACAGCTTACGCTCCTGGTATATTTCAGGAAATAGTCGGGGTTGTTTGTAGTACTCATAAAATAGACGAGACGATAGCAAAGTTGTGGCTAGATGCCACGGCCTTTGGAATTTCTTACGTGGCCTTTAGAAGGGTAAGACATACACTTCAGCTTAATTATTTATCACATAATAAAACAAAATGACGCGATTGTTCCTAACGTTTATCTGCCTTCATTCATTTTCGACTTGGTGCTCTTACCTCTAACTTTAGAATCTCATCGTTGAGAGAACATGCGCCAGTTTGCATTTCCAAGATTGACGCGCGTGATGCTGAGAATCAAACCTACAGTCCAATTTTAGGCTCAACATTAGACGATATATCGCATATATGTATGTATATACATACATACGTTTCGTTCATATATATATATACATGTATGTGTGTGTGTATAAATTGATTCGATCGTTCGAGAAATACGAACACGTTTAGCGAATTGATTAGAAATAAAAGAGAAAACACAGGAAGTATATATCGTTAGATAAATATCAATTGAGAATTAGAAAGAGAGAAGAAGGGAGAGAGAGAGAGTCCTTATATATGTACGAAACGTATGTACATTAATTCGATCAATGTCAATAATCTAATCGTTCGAAAAATTCTAACACGTTTAGAAAATTAATTTAAAATAAAAGAGTGAACAGGAAGTATATATATATATATATATATATATATATATATATACATATATATATTGTTAGATAAATATCGATTGGGAAAGAAAGATAGATAAAGATAAATAGAGAAAAAAAGAGAGAGAGCCCTTGAGCAACGTAGGTGAATTGGGGAAGTACTCGGTTTGGTTGATTGGCCGGTCGATCGCACTTGTTTCCTCTTGCTTACAGACCGGAAACGCGAAACTCCGGTGATGGCTGGTTGGCCGGAAGTGGGTGGGAACCTCTACATCGAGGAAGGGGAGACACCGAGAAGCAAACGTTCACAAATCGCGCGGATTCATCGAAACATCGAAACGATTCTCAGCCACAAGACGAACGTCATTGATTGATCGAACAAAATTAAGAGAGAGAGAGAGAGAGAGAGAGAGAGAGAGAGAGAGAGAGAGAGAGAGAGAGAGAGAGAGAGAGAAAAGAGAAAGAGAGGATGAAAAATTTTTAGAAGAATCTTTCAAAAATTCTCTCGCATCTCGCCGGATGCTGGAGGAACGATGACGTATTGGAAGGATTTCTCTACAATGCACAAAGTGTTTTGTACACAGTTATCGAGAGGTATATATCGTTCTTCTTACCCTTCATCCTTCCCTCTTCACCTTTCCGTTCTCGATCGATAACATAATGGAATGTACGATACGAGAATATATTTTTAGAGAATTACGTCATGATCTAATTCTTTATTGCCATTTTATAAAGTAAACGACGCTTGTGTGTCAAGATTACGAACTTATGGTGTGTATGTATATTCTTCTCCACCTTTCTTTTTCTGCACCTGGTTCCTGATATAATTATAAGAAATTTTCGAAGAAAACTTGATATAAGGGTATATCCTCTTATATATTATTGGTCCCGAAGCTCGAGTGAAACTCGAGCAACGAAAGACCGTTACGCTCTTCCAGAGAAGAGGATTTCTTCAAATTTATTTATTTTTCTCTCTCGTAGTTTTAATGCGCAAGGAAAAAAAAACGAAAAATAAAGTGAAAACTTTGTAATATAACACGAGCCTTTGTATTCATACACGTGACACGATTATTAAAAAAATAAAGTGTATAAATATGTAGAGGCAATTGTCCGATTGTATACACTACTCTCCTTCGAATCCTTTTATTTTTCCAAGAGACGCATGAATGTTGAACAGACAACTGGATTTAATTTTAAGATTTCTTTTTTCTTTTGTTAGCTTATTAAAGATTCAAATTGGTGATCAAGCAATTTAACAAATGGATGTTCGTTTCCTTTTACGGATATAAATCATATGAATTTCTTATAAAATATTTCATAATGAAAATTACAATGAGATATCGTTGAATTTAATTTATCTTAAATTTTAGAGGAACAACACAAGGGATATTGGAGAATTGAAAAATACGTATCTGATGAGAGAGTCTTCCGGTCTATTCCTTATATACATGTAAGAATTATGTATTTAAATTGTACCCATTACACCGTAGTAACATCAACAATATAATTTTTTTTCCCATTTTTATAGAATTAAATATATTTTAATTTTATATCATATAAATTAAGGGGGGACAGAGGGCGGGTTGCACCTAAGGCTTTTTATTCGAAATTGTGTTCATCATATTTTCGTATTTCTAAATACCTTTACGTCTATCTTCTAGGTTTAAGACTATTTTCTTTGTAAACGTGATCACAGTTGTAAAGGCATTGCTATTCTAAGCACGTGTGGTAAATGCGGGCACGCTTCTGGTCCATATATATATATATATATAAACATACATATATATACATATATATATATCTAAATGTGGGATTAGACAAGAATCTTTTCTTTAATTCTTTCAAATCGATGTTAGAATCGGTTTGCATCTTTTTCATTCTTTTTTTGTTTTATGACAAATTAATTAATAATCAAATTCAAGAAAAATAATTATTTAAATCAGGCACTTATTTTCACAATACCATAAAAAATTCACGAACTAATATGATGAACACGCAATGTTGTAAAGGTATCTAAAAAATTTGTACGTCAATGATGCTTCAATAAAGATTGACAGTGCAATTAACAAATTTAATAACTTGAATTCATATATATATATATATATATATATATATATATATATATAAAACTCTATATATATTTATAATTTTGTTTCTTTTTTCTTTAAAAAAAAAACATTATTTACCAATAATTTTTTTTGACTTCGAAGATTCTTTACGCGCTTATTATTAATTTACAAAGATAATCCAATGAATTTCTAGAGAAAAAGCACCGTTAACGCTGATCATTTGTTTACAATAATACACTACCTCATCTCTTGGAATGCAAAGCAATAATAAATTACTTATATGCTAATAAATAATATTGATCATATTAAATACTATGCTGAGATATACAGAACAATTATTAAATAACTACAACCATTTACAGCAGTGTTGTGTATCTCTCTCTGTATGTGTGTATATATACGTGTAGTTGTGTCTCTATTCTTTTCCTTATATAAATATATATATCTGTGCATAATATTAATTATGCATGCCATGTACGTAGTAATCACTATTTAGATTTCCTTTCCATTTCGCATTTTTCTCTTAATAATTTGTTTATTTCTGTACAAATATTTATATATAAAATAATCTTCGACATAAAGGCAAAGCAGAGAATATGACCCTGTTCTCTAAGTAGTGCATATATCGTGAAATAATACGTATTTGCAAAAACTCTTTTCTTTCTTTCTTTTTTTTTCCTTTCATGTCAAGGTCAAATCTCCGAACCTGCCTTTTATATAGTACATGCCTGGTGGCTTGTGCCCTGTACACGTTATCCTCATTATCGGCTGTACCGATGTATAACATTCCTACCTAAAACAGGTGAACAGGTGAATCAGCAATACACATCAACTCGCTAATAAAATATTTAGCTAGTGAAGTATATCGTCCACCTGTTAAAACCCACATATCACCATGAATTAGTAGGATAAACGGCAAATGCTTTTAACTAACCCGATGTCGTGTTCATTCTGACATGTGAAACGTGTGTGCAAGAAAGTGCAAGAAAAGGCAGAGTTTAATATACTAAATATATATATATATTTTGTTGTTATTGTTGTTATATTAATATATTACGCGTTCGTATATGGGATATACTTGAGGATAACTCGATTAAGAAGTAAGTTCAAAAATACATCGTGTCTGTTTCAAAGCATTTAAGCCGCATATCAAGAGCATAACTGAATAAGGTATCTAATAGAAATTTTCTCATATTTCTTTGTAATCTATCTATTTAACTCTGTTTATCTTTGAAAAAGTCTAAGACTATTCCAATGTTTTTATCTATAGATATATCGAATGAGTCAGCTAAAATTGAAAACTCGAATATCTCAATTAGTTTGAATTATAAAAAAGAAATTTCTCTCGAAAAATATGTTGGATACAAAAGAGTTAATATTTTACAGTGATTACAATAGTACAAATTTAAATCGACAATCGAATTGAAATTTTACAAAATATGATTTTCAGGTAAAAGTTCTCATCCTAACAGTATTAACCCCTGTATGATCCAACTATATTTTTTTCCCCAGAAATGTTTAATATATTAAAAAGTAACCGAGATATTCATGGTTCTAGTTTTATGTAACTTATTCAATATAACTATATATATATATATATATATATATATATATATATATATATATATATATATATATATATATATATATCTAAGTAAATACTACTAATAGAGCTTGGAATAATTCTGTAAAGCTCTATGGACGGATCGTTCGCATGATGACAATATGATGGACGAGTAAAAATCGGCAAATTTGAAAAAAGGCACAAATCTTCCCATTACGCGCAGAATTTTTAAGGGGAAGGCAGCACATGGCTATTACCAAAATTCACAATTTTAAATTACTACATATCAGGATAAATATATATATATCTATATGTATGTATGTGTATGTACTTGTTAAAAGTAGTTCGTTGGGGATCGAGTTTTTATATCTGAATGTTTGAAAATATAAATATATATATTAAAATATATATATTTTATATTTTAAAATAACACATATATATACATATATATATATGTATATATATATGTATATATATATTTATATTTTCCCGGCGCATATTCATATACGGATATTATTTGACATATAATTCTACGTACCCTTTCTGGATAAGATGGTTTTAAATAAAGAGTGAAAAATGATATGCCATTGCATACTTTTTGTTCGCTGCTACTGATGACTTTTGCTCAATAAATGCGAATTAAATTGGTACAAGTTACAGCACTGCTCACCACATATATTGCACTTCCATGGATTGCTCTCACTGTGACAACCTTTGTGAAGAAAGTACAACGTCTGATCTGGAAAAGTAATTCTACAGTGTGTACACTGTAAACCGCTACTTCGTGGATCAGGTCTCGTCGATGTCGGGGGTTCACCCCTTGAATGTAGATTGGAATTTGAACCATTATTATTATTAGTATTATTATTGTTACTGCAACTTGTCGAAAGTTTACGACATAGATCATCTCGTAATAGTGTCTTCAATGGTGAGACCTTGATTAACGATGGCAATGAAAGATTGCTAGATGTTGCTCCACTATCTTCCATACCATTGCTATTTGGCTCTTGTTTGATAGGAATTAAAGAGATTGAAGGTGTGATAGCTTCTTCTCCACCACCCACATTCCTTGTAATATAAGATTATTTATTCATATTCTCTGATATTAACAAATAAATTAAATATCCAATAAAATATTCTTAAATAATAATGTACTTACCTATGAATGCCACTACTGTTAATAGGTAATTGATGATGACTACTGCTTGGAGCATTACTATTGCTATCTGCACTTTGTGGACTATTTGGACTATCACCATTTAGTGGAGCAGGACTTGAATTCCGTTGATTAGTAGTTTGTTCTGGGTAAGGAATGGATATTTCAACGTGAGGAGTAAGAAAGTGCATTGGAGGAGTTGCGTTGTCCGCTGATCTATTGCCAGTACTATCACCACTGTCGGATAGGGGAGCAGATGGCATGGCTTCCCCAGGTGTGCAACTATTTAATATTGAAGTTGAACTGTTTGGTCCTGGATTATCTAAATCTATTCCATGTCTAAACACAAATATATATATATATATCTGAGTAAAGGTATTCTTCATATTATGATTATATTTGCAAACATAATACAGAAAAGTATAATTCATAAGAATTTACCTGTTAAAAAAGTGCAACCTAAGACATTTCATTGTTGTTGCTCGATAACTACATAATGGACATGATTTAACCATATCCTGTTGCCCTACATGTTCATTTTGGAAATGCGCCCTCATAGCAATTTGTCTTTGGAAACCTCTATTACATATTGGACAATGATATGGTAAAGTTTTTGAATGAGTGGTAAAATGTTCTGCAAGATGATCTTTTCGAAAGAATCTTTTCTGACATACTCGGCACTCATATGGTTTTACACCTGTATGCCTCATCTAGAAATGAAAATATAGAAAGAAAAAAAAATGAATACGATATAGATATAAAAGATCTAACTTCTTTTTTTTTCTTGGCACAGCTGTCATATCGATTTGGCACAGCTGTCATATAGATTTACCTTGTGCCTTCTCATATTAGCTCCATTAGAAAATTTCATATTGCAAACATCACACTCAAATATTTTTCTGTGGGTTCGTAAACCCGAATGACCCTCGTCTCCATCTCCATCATTTTCAGGTCCATCGATACCTTCTGCGCTTTCTCCTGGTTCACCACTTCCAAGACACTGATCTTGATGAGCACAAAATGCTGTTTTATTTATAGTTTCATAATTGTCACAGCGATCGCATCTGTGAAAGTGACAAAATAATGTATAAAACATATTATGTTATACATTAATACATTTCAATTTTGTGCCAATTTTTTTTTCATTGGCTTCTAAAGGATGTGAAAGCTAATCTAACCTAAATGCTGGAACAGCTCCATCGCTACTATCATAATTAGTATTAAGAGCTGCTTCGTTGTCTGGATCCAATGCTTCTTCTTCTCTATGATTAGAAGAATCACCAGCCTCTGCATGCGAAGAGGAATGAGAGTCTACCTCGTTTTCCCCGCCGCCACCATCGACTCCATCTGACATGATACCAAACGGTGGAACTATCTTGAATCCTTCATCTAACCTGCACCATTAAGAGCGTCTTTGTAACAATTACCATTGATATTTTTATTTCAATATAAGATGTGACATCTAATATATTTTAATTTAATTCAATAACACCACTAACTAAAAATGACAACAAATTTCAATTTAAGATGTAATTTCGACATTTTAGAAAGGAGAAACTTTAAGAGAAACGCCCTTAAGACATTTATCATTTATCAAAGTTTCGATCTAACATGAATTTCGTCTTACACAGTATTAAAAGAAACATATACGACGTATACTCTTACAATAGGACACGTATACTTTTCGAATTCTGATCGAAGATAAAAAAAAATCTCGCGAAGGAGAGAGTAAATACGTGGAGTGAGTTTAAACGTAAAATTTTGCCGAATCACACCGACGGTATACGTATTAATACAGGACGAATTTCACACATATAGTTACCTCGTTCGAAAGAGACAATGACGAACGTAAACCTTTACCTGTCAGTTTGTGGTACCTAGTCGAGTGTCAAGACTCTCGTATCGAAGATCGAGCAGGTATTCGAGAGCAAGGTGCAACGGTACGAGTATTACCCAATCCTGGGAAGATTACGGCATAGAAACACCTGGTGGGTAAAGCGCAATGCCAGAGTGCACTGCACTTTGTCCCAGTTTTGACCGAATCCGTCACTCGTGACGTAGTTTTCGCGGCTTTTCCGCGGAAAGACAGCGCCGTCGAAAGAGAGAGAGAAAGAGAGAGAAAAAGAGAGAGAGAGAGAGAGAAAGAGAGAGAGAGAGAGAGAGCAAAAGATCTAGAGAATGGTAGGAGTGGGAGAGAAAGCAAGAGCGAGAAAAAGAAAGAAAGAGAAAAGAAACGAAAGAGAGAGAGAGAGAGAGAGAGAGAGAGAGAAAAAAGAAAAGAGGTCGGGACACGCGTCTTATTTACTTACTCACATTCCTTAAAGGTGGGTTGGCAAGGCCTCCTTCAACCCACGGAATTTCTCTCTTCTATCTCACAACACCACGCGCATCCTCCTCGACGTTTGTTTCTTCTGTTTTTTTTTTTTCTTTTCCCTCCTTCTCTCAACGATAGATAGGCGAGTAAAACGTAACGGAAGTGCGCCAAGTATCCATATCCTCGTTCACCGATATCGGTGAGCATTGCTACCAATCCATTCCTGATAACTTCATATTCAAGTATCCTCTCTCATGTATTTTCCCGTTCGTTAAAAGGATAATGAAATCGATCTCAATTCTTCGAAGAAAAGGACGATGGAAACAAAAACGATGATCGTACGACTGAATCGCTACTCGTTCTTCGGCTCTTTTTGTACATAGTCGTGCGAAATCTTTTCTTCGAGTGACTCGAACATAACCTCACTTTTTTGTTTCTTTATTTTTCCGCCAATCAAAGGTTGGTAACATGTACAATCAATTTTAACTCGTCGTCGTTGTCGTCGTTGTTGTCGTGTCGCCGAACGTCACGCGCAATCTCAGCTTTTTCGTTTCTAACTTGAAAGATTTTTCTTTTCAAAATAAAATTTGTATTTGTAATTACGAAGTTAGGATAAACAAGTAAGCGCGTGGGCATATCGCGGTATGATCGAAATTGAGCGGATCGAGAGTATGAAATTTGAATCGAATGACGCCAAATCGATTCACCGTGCAAAAGAAAGTGGAGAAGATCACAAATCGGTGCGTGTTTTTTGATCATCTCTCTTGAGATACTTTATCTTAATCGGATATTCTCCATTAATTTCATTGTTCGTCTTAAAAAGAAAAAACACATTAATTAAAATAAAAAAGAAAATAAAAAATAAATAAAAGACAAGAAAAAAAAAAACAAGAAAGAAGTTAACCAAATTCGAAATTGAATTCGATTTATTTAATGGTACACGTACATATAGTACATTTATCGTATGTTCCCAATTGGCAATATCGTTCGATGTTCTTTCAGGAACACGATCGACGATAACAACGATAGTTCATCTGTACAAAGATAAAAGATAAAATATATCTTTTATGTGGGTGCACGATCGATGATAGGAAGGACACAAAATCATTTTTCCGTGATAATCGGATATATAAATGCGTCGTTCAAGAAACATAAAAGAAAAGGATCGTAAAGTTCCATTCATTCATTAAGGACATCGAATTTCATGAAAAGGTAATATCACTTATTCGAGATTAAAGATCGAGATAAGAAATCGATTATCAAGTCGAGAACAAAAGAATAACTTGTATCATCGTTTACTTATTTTCGCGCGACGCGTAGCGTCACCGTGTGAAACCACGAAATATGTCTCTTTTATACACATCAATCATCGTTCACGCTTCGAACCATGATCACGATTTACGTAATTTATCAGATATGTTTTTACAAATGATATAAGCCTAAATCAATAAAGATAATAAATCGTACTTTATTTTTGTATTTGAATAATATTACGTTTACTTTATCTTTTATATACGATTTGAAAAACAAAAATACATCCTTTATTTTTTTCTAAAGACCTTCATCGAATGCTATTTATTTTTTTTAATTGACCTAATCTTTACTCTTAAAAATGGTAACATGATCAAAGATGATACAAAAAGAAAATAAAATATGCTTTCGAGTTTATGATGTGAACTTACAAGAAGATAAAAAAGAGAAGTGGTATATAGAGTGGGAGAGAGAGAGAGAGAGAGAGAGAGAGAAAGAGAGAGAGAGACATAATGTGGAGGCAGAATACGTTATGATGGCGTAGCCATTGGGCGTTGCTCTTTAGTACCTGTTGACCGCTCGCACAACATTCGCTTATGAACGTTTATATATATTTTTTATTAAAGTAAAAAAAGTAGTAGATACATTTTATCATCGATTCAAATGAAAATCATGAAACGACACGGTAAGATTCATCTCTATTTTCGACTTTATCGATAAGATTGTTAACGATCATTTGTTATTGTTTTTTTTTTCTTTTTTTTTTTCGAGAAATTTCGTATTATCTTTATTAATATTCATATGCATGCGATGTAAAAAAAAAAAGAAAAGAATAACTATCACGTTTGATAATGTTTTTGTTTTTGAATGATAAAGAATGGAAATTATTTACCGATCGAAATAATAATATTGTTTAATGTTAAATGACAAATGACAAATGACAAGTGAAAGGAGTAAGGACTTGTTAGCAACGATACTTTTAAAGATAAAGAATATGATCTTTCTTTCTTTCTTTCTTTTTGATTTATAAATACCGCATTAAATATTAAAGCTCGGAATCGTTAAAGTAAAATCTTATGACTCATTCTGAGGTTTACGATGCTCTTTGATGGTCGCGTGCTGTGTGTCATCCGAGGCCGATCTCGTCTGATCTGTTTTCGATGTTCTTATCACATTGTTGACCGGTCATGAGTATATTTTTGTTTATATAATGCATATGCATACAACTTATGTAATTACGAAAGTATACAAGTAGTTTTGTCGCTTAGTCATTATTATAATATTGTTTATTGTTTATTGGATAATGTTTTATTTATTTTGTTATTAATGAATTTTTAATATTTTAACAACGACTTTAATCTTTAATTATGAGTATAGCCGATAAGAAATTATCCATTATTACTATTTACATATAATAGACGGTCGATAATGTTGATGTTATAACAAAAAAAAAAAAAAAAAAAAAAGAAAAAAAAAAAGAAGGCGAGTCGTTTCTTCTTTGTTGAAACTATTATTATTATTATTATTCTTATTTATATTAAAATGATTTTCTCTTTCAGTGATAAGTTATGGGAAAAAGTGAGGAGAGAAACGACACTACGGTGCAGGTGAACGAATCGAATTTCTTATCTAAAAATTCGAGCGAGGCAAGTAAAATGTTGGAGGCTGCATTATTACAAATGGATGGAATAATATCCGGTAATTATCTTTCAAAAAATTATAAATACCTTTCTACTTATGAATTTTTTTAACAATAATTTTACGAAAATAACGACGTATCTTCTAGAGTTTATAGAATAAATTTATGATTTTTCAAGTTGACTATCTTTATTTTTGATTTCGTTTACTTATTGATTTGTAGGAGCATGTACCGAGCAAGGTGCCGTCGAAGGAAATACAGAATGGAAGAATTCCGTGAAAGAAGCAACAAGAAATCTCGTAGCCGCAATAAAAAGTGCACCTACGCCGCCACCCCCGCCGGATGCGAGTACCATTGAAATTTTCATGCAATGGATGCAGCCGGTAAGAAGGAGCATCATTTTTTTTTATTCACTTATAGAAGTAACAATAGCAATGGTAATAGTAGCTTGTACACGTTGTCTTGTATGCTGACATGAATGCAAATCCAAAGGAAAAGTTCGAGGCAGGATAATAGAAGAAAAACGATACATGTCCTTTTCTTTTTTTTTTTTTTTGTTATCGTTATTATTGATGGCCCATTTCCGGATATACTTATCTTTCGCAATCAGCGCAGATGTCAATGAACACGTGGTTCGCATATCCGGACTGATTTCCGGCACGCGCACGTCTTTCACGCACGTGTTTCATGTGCCGTATGTACGCCAGTCAAATGCGTCTCACGTATGTTAGTCCTACATCCGGATGTTCTTAAACTTTATCTAGACGGGACATGCTACTAACGATCTACGATGAAGCGTGTCTTGTTTCATAGTAAACGAGAACGTAATTTATAGAAATATCTTATAATGCAATTTATACGTTTCTCAGAGGCATTACCTTTCGCTGATTGATATCTACAATGAGAAATAGCTATCTTTGGTGTACTCAAAAAAAGAAAAAAAAAAAATGAAGCAATTTATTTCATGAAGTATAGCTCTTAATTGAACGTTCACATAGATATCGTTAATTGATAATGTATTATATCTCGACGTTCACCACTTATGTACGTATCTGCGTATCTTCATCCTTGATCTCTCATCATTATTGCGAGGAAGGGGCAGCGATCTCGACTAATAAAGAGGGAGAACACACACTCTATTTATAAGTTCAATTTCTCTCTCTCTTTCTTTCTTTCTCTCTCTCTTTCTCTCTCTCTTTCTTTCTCTCTCTCTCCCTCTCTCTCTTTTCCTCCTCTTCTTCTTCTTCACGATGAATTTCGTGATGTTAAATTTAGTTTCGATGTAGACGAAGCCGAGCCTGGCGTATAAGACTAAGTTTCATCTATATTCAACGTACCGAATTGTTTCAATATTTTACGCCGATAAACAATACTTTTCTAAAAAGTGTAGAAAATTATTACTCGCCTTTTATATATTTTTTTCATTCTGGAGAGTTTCCATATACTCAGGGACGTTTTTTTTTTATTTATTATTTCCTGGTAATATACGTGTGGAATACATTTATATATTATTGAACTTATAAGTTCAGATTATATGTTTAAATAATGTGGTGCAATAATGATATTTTGGAAGAAGGGATAGCTGTTTAATTATAAGGAATGGATAATACGTGGACCAATTATCCTAAAGAGTACCAGAATTTAATTGCTATTATGGAAGAAGAAAATAAACAACATAGGAAAGGTCTTTAATTGATATATTTTAATAAATAATATTTGTTTATTCTTATTTTATTGAAGTTGATGAAATTATTTTATGAAAATAACGATTAGTATTATCATTATAAAATCAATTTCTTTATGCTAATCATTATCAACATTTCAGATAAATTTTTATAAGTAAAAGATATCTAAGAATAATTAATTATAATACAAAAGTATTTTGTGCATCCTTTTATATTAAAAAAATACAGAAATAGAGTCTTTATCAATCTTTATAGAAACATTTGGTGTTAAATATGGGTTCATTGATTTTATAAGAGGAATTTGAAGAGAAATTCATTTATTCTTATCTCAGAGATAGTAAAACAGTTCTTCGAATCTAATTCAGATTCACAGTCAGATTCATCAGATGCAGCTTCAACTATAAAACATTGGGATAGTCAGTGGACACCTTCAGAAGGATATGATTCTTCTGGAACGTCTAATTCTGGTTGTGGTGAGGATTATGCCGAAGATTATCAACACAGAATACCAGTTGATCTACCTAGATTTGTTGAAGATTGTCACAGTGCTTGTAGGTCTCAGACTTGTCTTTGTCAGGTACTTGGAAGAACATATTCTATGAAATTGTTGTTTGTATCCGGTATTAAGAATATTTTATTTTCATGAATTAACGCATATTTGTAATATCATACTGCAGGGTTGTCTATTCGAATACAGTAAGATGATAAATCTTCAAGGCAGTATGTCCAATATTTGTGGAACACCAACATCAAAAACCAATCCAACTCATTTATCGACTCTTCCACCTTTGTATAGTACACCATGTTCAAGGTTTTTGTGCTTGTTAATTTTTTGAAGTATATAAAATAGGATATACAAGAGTAATTTCCAAATGATCTATTTATGTAAATTAGTATCCAGAGTGAGCTGCCACATCATTGTAGCAAGGACCATCTTCCTTTAAGTTGCAACTGTCGCAAGATGTATTCTTGCCATATGCAACAAATTCCATTGCATTTAAAGGAATGTCATTTACATTCCAGTGACAAAACAAATAGCACTACTTCTCTTTCTGGAAATTCAGTAGGTCGTTGTGTTGGTTCATTGGATAGAAGAAGACGAAGATTCAAAAGTAAAACTGATCATAATCAGAGGACAAAATCACATAGTGATTTAATATGCTGTGCTAAAGATAGACCACATTACTGTTCTTTACAGCAATTTCAATGTGGCAATAATTCACATTTATATAGCTATTATAATAAAACTGAGGTATTCTGCTATGCGTAAAGAACCAATAATAAATTTTAACTAGTTAGTTATTTTGTTAATTTAGTTAATTTAGAATTTGTTTTGTTAATTTAGAAATGAAGATCACCAAATAATTCTTAAAACTTCTTCATGTTTGTTTTTTTTTCATAGGAACGTCTCCAAAAATTAGAAAGCGAACGTGGTGCACTTCATATGGAAGTATCAGTTTTGTCAGAGCAAGTTGATGCACAGTCTAGCAAAATTCAAGAATTGGAAAATATGCTTAAAGAAAAAAAGCATTCCCTCAGACAAATGGAAGAAGCTTTACAAAAGGTTAGATATGAAGATATCTTATTAAAATTTAATATATATTGGTTTTAATGTAATGCAATTTTAATTTTTTATTATTTTAAAGGAAGTGTTATCAAGAAGTGCATTAGAGACACAAAAATTAGAGCTTCTTAGTTCTCTTTCTGAACTAAAACTCAGACAAGCTAGTTTAGAACATGAAAATTTAGCATTAAGAAATACAAATTCATTATCCAATGTAAGTAATTAAATATTATTCATATATACTTTTTTTAAGTATAAATCTATAGCTAATCCTTTCTTCAGGGGGAGAGATTCAGTAGGCATGCTGGTCAATATAGCAGTCTTCCAAGGCCACCAACATCTTCAAAGAAAGGAGTCGCGTTTGGTAAGGTTTCGAATTTAATCTCTGGAGAGCACACAACAGTACCATTGGCTATTAGAGGAATCTCTGCGAGATGTCTATCAGCTCCTATTCTAGGTTCCTAATTGAATCTTTACTTAAGCATGTTTATGCCATGTTTGCTTGTTTCTAATAACACAGTCTGTTTAATAACCATTTGTTTGTTGACAAAGGAGAAGCCAATTTTAAAATGTAAATTTAAAATAAGTAATATATTCAAACGTAAATAATTATGCCATAATCAGGGTATTATTTTAACATTTAATATTGAAAATAAATCAAATATATATATATATATATATATTTTTTTTTTATTTCCTCTTTAGCGGAAGAAGAAAAAATAGTAATTGGAGAATCAAGTTTTCAACCAGAATCAACACCACCAAAGCCACTTGCAGAATTGTCTATAGAAGAAGTTGGTGATTGGCTATCTCGTATTGGTCTGGAATGTTACGCTGCAGAATTAAGACGATGGGGAGCTACTGGTGTAAAGTTAGTTGAGGCAACGCCAAATCAAATTGAAAAGGAACTTGATATAAAAAATATATTGCATAGAAAAAAATTACTATATGCAATTGAGTCTGAGAGATCTAATGCAGAAGGCTTTCTTGGTTCAGAAAAGGTTGTGTAAATAATGTTTTATATGAATATACATAAAATATACATTAATATATATAAAATGTTTTACTTAATGTATTTTTGATATCATTTTTAATTTTTGTAGATGGACAGTGCTGCAGTACTACGATGGTTAGACGATATTGGATTACCACAACATAAAGAAGCTTTTCATAATGCCAAAGTTGATGGTAGAGTATTACATAGATTAACAACGGAAGACTTATTGAATCTCGGTGTGACAGCTCAGCTGCATGCAGCTAGTTTACGACGAGGAATTCAGGTAATATTATATAAGTATAAAGTTCAATAAAAATGATTACAAATTTATTAAAATTGTATTCTTTGACAATGACATTGTGTAAATGTAATCGACATAATTAATTTTATAGATTTTGAGGGAGTTGAATTTTGAATTTGATAATATGGAGAGAAGATCAGTAAATGGGAATGGTGCAGATGGAACTAATGTCACACTATGGACTAATCATAGAGTGATGGAATGGTTGAGAGTGGTTGACCTTGCAGAATATGCACCCAATATGAGAGGCTCAGGAGTGCATGGAGGATTAATGATCCATGAAGGTCGCTTCACCTCAGAATTGTTAGCTACTATATTAAGCATTCCACCTTCAAAAACTCTACTAAGAAGGCATTTGACAACTCACTTTAATCAAATTCTTGGTAGAGAAGTTGTACAGCATAAAAGAGAGATGGAAAGTACGCTTGGATTTGTACCTTTAACTCTTACGGCTAGATTGAAGGTTGGTATATCAATAAAAGTGTAAATAATTATGTATTTTATATATAGCAATATAATATATTTTTATGTTTGTATAAAAGGCACCAAAGAAGTCTCAGTTCACGTTAAAGCGTAAAAAAAGTAAAAACGAAGTGGATTATGGAAATCTGGTTTGTCCTTTGGAAACATCACCACCAGGTACACCATCAACATCTTCGTCAACACCAGGCAGTCCTAATTTGAACTCACCCTCACTCTAACCATAATCACAGATTCATTCAAGCAGTCATCTTAACTAACTCGTAAGTCTAACTCGACTAATATTTCAATATCACATTGCTTATAATGATCAAGTTTATAAAGGTGTAGGTCTTATATTTTTATTTCTTTATAGGATCAAGCTATATAATTGATTATAAGCATAGCAGTAGTCATCTTTATCAAATCTTATTCCTTTCAAAATAATCCAATACTATACCATTCTATTTAACTATTTACCAAATATTTTATATTCTGCTTGTATCTTTTTTTTTTTTTTTTTTTATTACTATATTTGCTTTTTTATGTTTGCTTATTAATTCTGGATTAATTTTCCGCATATTATAATTCGTCTCATCTGTATCATTACTTAGAAAAAATTTCTTCATTTCTATAAATTAATTGTTTTCAGATCTAGAGGATACTGGACAAAAGAAAGTAATTGGTTGTATATGAGGAACATATATAAAACTTATTTTGTACAATGAATATATTGGACGATTCATTCTATACCAAAAAATATTTACTTTTATTAGATTTGATTAACAGGCAAGCTATTTACAGAGATAATGGAGGTGTAAAAATTACAAATCACAGTTAAACAGGGACCATTTTTTTACGACACGAACGTATTAACAATTTGTGTAATCAAAATAATAACAGGACAGTATAGGTGCCTTGCTATATATAACGTCTTTAGATTATGTCATATATCTTCAAACAGATTTCTAATAACCCTATCAAAATAATAGTAATTGTTCAATACTAAATAATTGACGCGTTGCAAAATTTATATTTTCATATTACAAATAACACATGTATTTTGTATGTAGTTTGACTATTAATGTGTTATTAAAAA